ATTTAGGGTTTAGGGTTTAGGGGTTTAGGGTTTTGAGGGGGGGCTTGGGGGGATGAGGGGAAGGGGTTAGGAAGGGGCCAAGGGTGGCTTTAGGTTTTGTAGGGCAAGGCTCTGGGGTTTTGGGGGGTTTCGGGTAGTTGGGTCTTGGACTTCATGGGATTTATGTGGCCATCTCTATTTGAAAGATGCAAGAATCCAATTTGTGATACTAGCAAGCTTCAACACTGAAGCCTTGCATAGCTTCATGTCGTTAGGTTATGGGTGCAGGACGTTAAAGGTGACACTGCCCAGCCCTATCGCTAGGCCTCTAGCTTTCGCTGTTTGTCTGCACAAGTCCTTCCTCTGCGCTCCAAACCCAAAGCCCTAAATGCCCTAAAGGCCCCAAACCCCAAAGAACCCCAAATCCGAGAAATGGCCCAGGTCTCATCACGGGAGACACGCAGGATCGCAGTCGGATGAACCTTGCCTGGCTCGTGGCAGGCGCTTTTTGGTGCTGCGGGAGGGGGATTGTTGTTATCTCTACTATACTAAATTATATTAGACTATATTGTATTATACTATATTGAATCATCCTTTCGCGGCAGTCGCTGTTTCTGTGGCCGGTCGCGAGCTGCAAAGGCACGGCAAAATTTTCTAGGATGGTCCCCTCAGCAGAGAACCCGACAGAAAAGACCACTCTGCAGCTGAGATTTGCGGGCGAAGTGCCCCTCCCTGTCTTACCCCCAAAGAAGCTTAAACCTGACAAGAGGGTTGTTTTCTCCAATCTTCAGGCCTCAGCTTCCTCACGGGCATGTTGCTGATGGACTTTTGCTTCACGCTCATCTCGCGACATCCCGCCGGGCTCTCTGTGCTTCACGACGGGCCAGGTTTAGGGTCTAGGAAAGTGCAGGACTTGGGATTAGGGGGCTAGGGTGTCAGTTGTAGGGTTTAGGGTTTGCAAGGGCGTTAACGTTTATTGTTTAGGGTGGTCGCGCCTTCGCAGGTCATGCGGAAGCTGACATACACGCCGGAGCAGATCAAGACGATGCTTGAGACCAACGCGCAGGATCTGGGGCTAAGCGTCTCGTTTTGCGGGCTTTTTGGGGTCTTAAGGCCTCCGGGCAATTAGGGCCAAGAGGGTTTCCTGGCCTTGTCACGTCATCTCTCATCCTGATCAACTTAAGGGTTGGGAGCCCCTTAGAAGAAGCGCCGAGGAGGAGGAAGTCTTCGTCGACGACATGCGGGGAGCCCAGGGCGTCCTGGTGGCCTCATCGCCCTAATGTCAGAAACTCCGGAGATGCTCAAGCTGACTAGTACCCTGGACGGTCTTGCTGCTTCTTTTCGTTATTGCAATACGAGCTGCAGCAATGCTTTCAACTGGGAGAACGAAGATACCAGGCTCGCAGCACGAAACTGTCGACACAGACAGCAGAGACATCATGAGCACCAGCACAGGTGCAAGCTGCTGCGTGGAATGCTGCCTGGATGCATCGAGGGTTTTCAGGACAGCATTCCGAGCAAGACCTGTCAAAACGGCGAAGAAAAAGTGCTGCGTCGTCTCGGGCGCGCGATGGCTTCCGCAGCTGTGTTGAACGTGTGAGGCTGACGCAGGGCAGCCCAGAGTACAGAGGCCCGGACCCGGCAGGAGAGTGCATCCACGATTCCACGACCATCGGTCACATCTCCTCAAGCCTCCCGGCTCCTGGAAGCCCACCTAACATCTTATAACAGATATGAACAGGCAAAAATGCCTCGAAAAACCGCTGACAGGGATCAAGCTGTGGTCTGGCGTCGCGCAGAGGTGTCGCCGGGTGCAAGCGCAGTCGCTGGTTTGGTTGGGTCCTATCACTTGGGTTGTTGCGAAGGTAGCTCCTTGGCATTTCGGTAAGGGAACGAGCTGAGGTAGTTAGGACCAGGAGTCTGTGAACGAGTTGTGATCTTTCCTTTCCAGCCCTACATAGCCCTTCAAGCAGCTCACCTCATCTGGAGACCTGGTTCGGGGCCCATACTTGGATGCGACCGACGCTCAAGCCCCTGTAGCGGCCCCCGCGCGCCCCAACGCTGCCTCGCGCCTCGAAAGAAACCCGAACCCCTCCGCGCGCACGCGTACGCGCGGATGGGGGAGAGGTTCGTGGCACGAGTTCTCCGAGAGACCATCCCGCGGATGCGCGAGGATCCGGAAGAGCACTTGGAGGACCCAAGACGGCTTCATAGTAGCGCCCCCCAACTAAAATTTACCCCAATACCACATAATGGGCTACATTTCGCAATCAGGGTTTGAGGGGTAGAGGAATTGGTTTTCTCACGGGAATTGCTTTTTTTTCCTGTTGCACATTACAAAAAACCCTGCAAGTGGTTTCCAAGTCAGCGAAGTTTTGGCTCAGATATGCTCAGATATGCCCGCCGGGCTTTAGCCCATTTTCAGGGATTGCGGGTTTATAAGGGCGAAACATCAGGTCAGGACTTCGGGTTTTCAGGAGCCGTTGGGTGACACCGTTCTGCTAGGACGTGGCTGCGTGGATCGCCAAAGTTGGCACAGATGCAGACTTGGACTACTTCCATGCCAAGTTCCCTCATATCCCACGGCACAGAAGGCAGCGAACCATGTGACAGTTTTTGTCATCCGTGGCAGCATTCGGTTGTTTTTGAAGCGTCTCTGTGAGGTGGCAAAGCGATGCCTACGTGGGAGAGCACCAATTCAACGACGACGTCGCCGGCATCTCGGGGTGTGAGCGCGTGTCAGCCATGAGTGAACGCAGAGAACGTAGTGCAAATTGAGTCTGTCTTGTGGAGAACACACGGCTTCGTCGCCATGGTGCGTTCCAAAGCTCCATGATGCACCGAATTGCCGGCCGTTTTGCTCTGAACTCGCTCAAAGCTTTTCCATGTTCTCATCATTGCTACTGAAGTCTTCCATATTCCGCGCTTGCAAGCCTGGAAGCTTTTGCTGTTTCCGTGCGTTCCGATGGCGAGGTTTTTTCAGCACTGTGCTTGCTGCTGTCGTCTTACTTTGGAGTGTTGCTCCAGGCACAGTCGAGCACATCCTGACGGTCGAGAGATACTGATGTTACTGCTGATGGCGATGATGATGACGATGAGGAGGCGGACGGCAGGACGGTCCTTCAACTACGATGAGGAGGAGGAAGAGGAGAATGAGGAGGACGATGATGCCTTCGTGGACGTCGAGAACGACACGTGTAACGGCAAAAGCTATCCTTCGACCATGAGGAGGATGACGATGAATAATATGAGGAATATCATGGGGAAGACGAAGACGATTGCATTGACGATATGGCGATGCCTGTGATGCTGCCCTTCATGATGACTTTAAGGGATGATGATTATGCTGATGATGACGATGATGATGATGATGACAAGTATGAGGAGTAGTATGCAGGCAGTGCTGTGAAGCGCGTGACGATGATGTGTTGGCTGTTTTGGATGAGGAGGATAAGGAAAGTTGCGCATGGCGATGATGACAGCAATGGTGATGAGTGGCGATGATAGTGCACGGTGGCTGTGAAGGCAATGAGGACGATAGCTTGATGATGGCTGATTCTGTTGCTTCTGCTCATGATGTGTATGTTAATTACTTGTGAGGACTGTTTTTCACATCTCATTACACCACCACCACCACCACCACCACCACCACCACCACCACCACCACCACCACCACCACCACCACCACCACAGCCTTTGCCTTTGCTATCAAAAGCACTGCGCTATTCTCACCATCGGAGCAGCATTTCTCATCATCCTCATCGCCTTTATCATGCATGACCACTAGACTGAGCATCACCACTAGACTACACCAGCAGCAAGAAGAGCAGGAAAAGCCACAACGAGTGCAATGGGTCTTCACTGTCGCCAGTGCTGTTGTTTCAAGATGTTTCTGAGGCCCGTGCGACGTCGGGCCCATCCGTGACGGCAGCAAAGTGACGCACCGTCGGTGCTGCAGTTCTGCGGTTTTAGTTTTATGTAAGCCGGCAGTGTCACCAGGGTTAAAGGTTCTCCAGGCGACCTGGTAAGCGGCATGAGTCGTGAGTCTGCCGCTGAAGACTTTGGCGAGATGCGTCCTTTTCTTGCAGTGGGTGTTTAGCGTTATCATCGCGATCTTGTAGGATTCCAGGATGGTTTGTGGAGTGTAGGCTCATAGGCGATCCTTGTGCAGTTACCGAAAACACCATCACCACCATCATCATCCTCGTCATCCTAATCGCTTTTCGATGCAAATAGGTGAGCATGATCTAGCTGACCAAACCCAGGTGAGGCACTGCTTGTCGATGCTCTGGGGTCCTCAGTGGACCCCTCGTTCTCCTTGATGGCTTAACTCTCTCAAAGAGAGAGTTCTTTCCCTCGGGAGTGAGTTTTGCCGGGTTGCTTCAGCGCCCGATGCGACGCGAGGTGGCTCTGTCTGGAGCTGATCGCGGATGCATGTCATGTTCGAGCGGTGGGCAGCTTGACGGGCTCGGCCAGCTGGGTCTTCGGGGCCTGCAAGCCTGCAAGCTGCTGCTTGGACTTGCGGAGAAAACCGTAGCCGTAGCCCATGGAGGTCCATGTTGATGCTTGGCCTGGCATTGCTTCGCTTGCTTTTTTCTGTGCCTTCATTCCGACTCTGGCTTGCACCGTTCCGCTGCCACGGGGCTGCAGCTTGTCGCGTCGCGCAAGTCGCGCAGCCGCAGGGCACCTGCAAGTGTGACAGGGGAAATGGCGCCAGCCAAAGCGAGCGCGAAGACTTCTGCCACACAGGCCCAAAGTCCCAAAAACTGAGCGGAAGAAGAGCGTAACAGAAATGCCCCCCACTCCTTAGGAGAAGATGGCCAAGACCGAGATCTGCAAGTTCAACAGCGGCTTGGCCTTCCTAAAACACCCCTAGTGATCTGTGGTCTGCCGGGTATCCGCCGTTGCCCATGGGTGTTGCTAACATGTGTGATCTTGTAAACTCTAAACCCAAACATCCCGAAACCCCGAACTTCCTACACCCCTCCGCCCATGTACAGAAGTTTGCGGCCTGGGCAGGCATGGGCAAGTGCAAGCGCGGTGCGCAGTGCAGTGTGGTCCTCAGAGACTTGGAAAGGCATCAGCCAGAAAGCCAGAAAATGCGCTATATTTATCATGATTTATTATCAGATTTATCTTCGTCTCTCTCAGGATATATCTCATGTGCCATTCCGCTACGGAACCGTGGAAACCCCGTGCCGGCACACTGAACATAAGAGCCCCATGGCACCGCGCTGGTAGAGGGAAAACCGGAAAACCCTTCTAAAAGCTGAGACAACCCCTGTCGAAGCCCCGCGAAGCACTCTCAGACCCGACAAGCCCTTTCCAAGACACATGATGCATTGTATACATGCAGTCCGAAGTGCCGAGGCTTTGCCCACGGCCCAGAGGAGCTTGTTGCCAAGCCTGACCTCTTCAAGACGATGTCAGACACTGAGTTTCTGAGTGCCTCCGGCTCGGGCTCGTCGCCGCGCTTAGCAAAAGCACGGGGAGGCTTTGCCGGAAGTGGGCCAAGGCCGGCCGAGATGGATTGAAAGCTCAGCTTTTTATGGGGTGCCCTTGTGCCTTGCAGGGCTCCTGCAATTTTACCAACTGCGCATTTGCACATGGAGAAGAGGAGCTGTGCCACCGGCCTGTTCTCCTTCAAGCCTAGCTTCCCTGAGCTTCCATTCTCTTTGCTCGCCAGGCGCGATGCCCGATCCAAGCGTCTTACAGGACAGCGGAGACTTCCAATCTGGATCTTGCAAATTACCTATACTAGTTTGGGGGTTCCTTATCATAATTACAGTATAGTATACCCTAAAACCCTATTCTAATTATTAAAGTTATTAAAGCTAAAAGGACCGAATCAGAGCCCATGACAGCCAGCTGTGCACTCCAGGACTTCGCAAAGAGGCTGCGGAGAAGGAGCGGCCTCTGGCAGAGCTCAACCTGAGGTTTCCAATAATATATATATATATAATATGCTATTATATAGCAGGGTTTTGGATCGAGCCGACCCGTAGAGGAGGCATTGCTAGAACCCCAGTGGTTTCCAACCACGCTTCCGTCGCCATTGCTCGCGGAAGTCCGACCTGGCACAGGCGTGCCAGATCTCAGCGCCACCGTGCCCGGCGGCGCGTTTGGTCCAAGAGGGCTTCGGGGACCGCTCCCTGGGCCAGGGACATTTGGCTGCTACAAGCCCACCATACGAGACCAGTCTACCGCGAGCATATGGGTGGCAAGAGGGCGCAGCAGCGGCCATGGCACGCTCCGAATGGAGGAGGAAGTCAAGGCCAGCGAGGCAATTCCTGGGCCTACTGGTCCGGATCATGGTC